GATACGGAGCCAACGCCAATTTCACGCTGGCCGTATGCCAGCCGCAGGGGTGCAGACGATACCTGATCTGGCTGGAGCTGTGTACAGTGACACCTGATCCGGCATAAAGTCTGCTAGTAAAAAGTTAACCTGTCAAAAACTTCTTGAATTAACTTGAGCAGGCAGAGTCAATGAATACCAGGTCAGCGCTTCACATCATGCGGCCACCCCATTTTTGAGCCAGTAACAGGAGTTGTGCTGCTGGACTTTCTGCGTGCCAAACCACAGCCTGATGTCGATAGCGATGCTTATATGCATGGGGATCTCATTGCAGGATCAGGGCCTAAGGATCCTTCAACTCGCGTTGCCTCCAACTCAAAGCAAAAAGAAAAAAGCAGAATGAAATCTAAACGTTTAATCTCGAAGTAGTTGACAGAGCCTACTAATATGGAATCTGTAGGTGAAGATGGAGCCACGGGCGTTTCTGTAGCAGATAAATTTAGATGATGATTAAAATAGAGCCTATTAAATCAGGTTAGTGAAAGTCTCGATACAGCAAACACATCAGTAACCAGGCTGATTTCAGTAGTATTTTAGTAATCCAAACAGTATTAAAAATGCGCCCTGTTGTGTTGAACGAATGTCAACTTTATTTTTTTCTTTACAGCCCTTCTGAAACTGTTTTGAAAAGCCCTACCTGATCTCTGGTAGAATTTAACCCATTTTTAACACTGCCGCAATATGTTGAAACATGCACAGTTACCATTACACAAGGCTACAGACACGAAGGAAACGTCGATTTCAAACGTTCTGTCTTGAAATTGCTGGAAATCACTGGAAATTGCTCCGTTTATGTGAGTACTTCAACTATTTTCAGAGCTAGTTCAAGGAGACCATTAGCTGAAAGCCATTTTCAGAAGTTTTTCCATTTCCCATCACAGAGGCCCTAAAATGGTCCACCCAGAGCTCTAGCAACCTTGACAGTTACCCAGATCTCCGAGCTATTTACAGCCATGCTCCTATCGCCCCTGCGGGGATGCCTAGACAGGGGGTTCCCAAATTTTGGTCCTCAAGGTCATCACGCAGTCTCGAGGCCAAACCGCAGACCGCAGCAGCCTGCGCTCCAGCAGGCACGGGCGAGGGAGGCGGTGGCCCGCTTTTCCCCCTGCTGCCCTGTGCAGCAGCATGAGCCCCCGTTCTTCCTCACAGGGTCCGGCGGCCCGGGGCTCCCCAGAGAGCTCAAGGGTTCGTTTACCAGCCGGCCCAGTGC